TCCTTCCTTTCCTTCTCTTTTATTTTGTTCCTTTACTCTGGCAAGAACCTCAAAGTTAGTACTCAAACCTAGTAACTATATTTGCCTAAAAGTTACTATGGCTGCCTCCCTATTTTATGATGTTGAACACACATTTAATTTTTTTCTATTTCCTTAATCGTATTCTGTCTTTCTTTAAAAATTACAGGATTCGTATAAGAAAAATTGGTTCCTTACTTTACCCCAAATAATAAAATTACAATCTTATTACCTGCATCTTCTTTCATATCAGCATCTGCTGTTTCTTCATTGTTATCATCTGTTGGAAAAGGAAAGACTCGTATCAAAGTAAGAAACAGAAGAATTTTCCAATTTGACTCATCAAATAACAAAAGAAACACAAAAGGACAGCAGAAAGAAATACTAGAGCAGCCATTGTCCTGGGTCATCATGTGGAGCTTGAAGTAACTGCACTCTTCCAGCAAAACCTAACATTGGAGGTTACATTCCTGTTTATGACAACATATAAGCACCACAATAAGCACACAAAGTATGTGTGATCACATTGGTGATTTCAATACTTTGAAAGTGTTACCTACAAACTTTAAATCCCATGAGTCTACACTCAAGGACAGCATTTCTGCTGAGCTCCAGTGTCAACACAGTGGACACACTGATATTTGTTTCTCCACACTGCTGGGGAAAAATGCTGCTCTGCAGTAAGGCAGACCTTCCACCTTCTGCTCCCACAGATCCTATTGGTGGTCTCCTTCCTCTTCAATCCTCTTCATTTCCCAGAATAACACCTTCTAAATGGACAAGGATGTATGATTCGTCTGTACTACGGTGGGATGCTTGCTAGGTTACTCTCATTCCGTTTCGTCTTTTGCCTCTTTCTCTCTTGGCCTCTCTCTCTCTCTCTCTCTCTCTCTCTCTCTCTCTCTCTCTCTCTGTGTATACTGAGAAATGGTCTTCCTATTTAGGCAAGGCTATAATAATGCCATGTAAAAACATTCTCTCAATCCTCCTGCCTCTATTGTCAATCACCCTAACAGGTTGTACTTACTCTTATGAACTTACAGTCTGCTGTGCCTCTTCTTGAATGCTCCTTATATCTATTACCTTGGTCTGAGTGTGTGCCCCACCCCTTTAAGTGTTGAGTCTTATCCCCAAAGTCATGATTGTTGAAAGATGATTATGTCACCAAGATGGACCCCTAATGAATGAGATCTGTTGCTTTAAGGAAGAGGTCAAGGTGAGACCCAGTCTCTGCTATTTCATTAAGGAATGAAGAGAAGCTACCCTCTGTAAGGAACTTGGGCCATACCAGACTTCTAGCATGTAGGAAATAAATTTCTGTTTTATAAGCCTCCCCATTTATGTATGGTATTGTCTTACAGCATCCCCGACACTAAATGTGAGTCAAGGCCTACATAGTGGTTCCCCCTGCTTACTTTACTGCACTCCATTCTAATAATTCCTTTGAATTATGTTTCTTGGAGGTTTCCCAATTGTTCCATTCTGTTTTCTTCCTCTGACACACTTTCTATTCAAATGTGGCTGCCAGCCCAGTCTTAATACAGCTCCACTTTGGTCTACAGCTTCATAATAACAGCCCCCTGTGCAAAAAGGAAAACCTGACTCTTCCCTCTGATAGTTAAAAGTCAACAATATCTGATTCCAGTAGCTTCCTTACCCTGTGATATTTATGTTATCACCTAGAAAGATGGCAACACTCAACTACTTTGTTTCCTCAAGGTAATATTGATGTTAGTCTATTTTATGTTGCTATAACAAAATACTTGAAGTGGGTACTTTACAGACACAGGAGGTTTATTTGGCTCCCAGTTTTGGAGGATAAAAGTGTAAGATAGTGGAGTCCCATCTGTTCAGGCCTCTGTCAAGCACCACTGGCTATATTATGATATGGCAGATGGCATTACAAAATAAGCACATGCACATGTTAAGAGTAAGTAACATAGCAGGAAAAGACACAGTTCTCTTTCTATGTCCTATATGTATAGAATCTGAGCACTAACGAAGTCCTATGAGGACCACACTAATGTCTTCCTATGGTAGTGCCCATATGATCTGATCACCTGTAAATGGCCTAGAATCTCAGTGCCATTGTACTGAAAACCAAGTTTCTAGAGCACAGACCTTTGGAGGGTAAACCATAATATTTTCCTTTAGCTTCCTCTATCTGCCTCATTCTTGCTAGTGAACCTCTTTCTCCCTCTCCCTCTCCTCCCTCTCCCTCCCCCTCTCCCTCTCCTTCTCCCCCCCCCTCCATTTATAATCTTCAAAGCTAAGTCTGCATTTTCTGGTGCAGGTTTCACTGAAATAGACAAGAGGCAGCTGAATCATAAAGTATGTCTATGAAGGCTTCCAGACCATCTATTTGAAGTAAGTTTGAGTTAACCGTATTTTTCATGGATCTTATTTTTACTGTCTTAGGAATATATATTTTAAAGACACTTGAACTCAGGTCTGCCCACTGGCTCTTCAGCCCACCCATTTATTAGCTATGTAATCTTGGAAAAGTTGCCTATTCTTCCTGGGTTTTAGGTTCCTTAGTCACAATGAGTGATGATAACAATGCCTATTATATAGACTTCTTCTGAGGACTGAGTTGGATGACGCCATGCAATGTTCTAGAACAAGTATTGAAACAACATCAAGTGCTAAATTGTTATTTGCATAAAATGTCATTTGGAAGGATCTGCCTTCCAAATGTCCACCTCATGAAGACTATGAGGATGAAAACCACGTCTTGAGTTTCTTCGTTTTTTCTTGGTACCCAGTGCCATTTATTTTATGTAATAGAAAAGATAAGACCTTTCCACTAAATGGACAAACCACAGACAACCATGCAATGTTGGGAATGTGACATAAAACAGTGCAATCCTCAGTTTCTTAATCTGAAAGGGAGGGGTAGTAATGTAGCCAGCTTTTCTAGAAATGGAGATGTGTGCACACACAGCTAGCACAGAATAAGCATTTAAAGCTATTAATTATTTGGTAATATGACACTAGTGTTCTACTTCTGTTCCTTTGGTAACTATTAAGCACTACAACATACAAGAAGCATAGTAGTCCTTGAAGACAGAGGTCAAGAATCTCTCCCCCCCCCTTTTTTTTTTACAGAAATCACAAGGCAGGTCACGATAGGCAGAACTTGGGCATCAGAGCAGGAACTGACATGCTGCTGTAGGTGAGCAGAGGTTCTATCAGGGACAGATAAGAGACAGCAAAGTCAGAGGGAATCCACAGAAGCTGTCTAGAGGAGGTAAAGGGTCATCTAAAAAGTAACCTGAGAGTCACTGGTGATAAAGAGAGGAGGTAGTTGATTACCAGAAAAGGTAGTCTTTTGGCTACACATCCTTGTTTACTGACACTTTAAAACACATGCAAGAGTGACCTCTGCCATGTGGGTCCTTTGCCTGTGAGTTCTCTTTGCTTTCTAGAGCTGGCTCAAGAAATTCTGTATAATTAATATGTCGCAGGAGCCAGCCTACCACCCTGGAGTAACAGCTCCCAGTATCTAAGCTTATCCACAAACATCCCAAGCTTGTTCCACATGATTTCTATAAGTCATCCTTCCTCATCCAATTTGAGACCTAGAGGTAGACTGTAAGTGGTTTTGGATTTAACCTATTGACTTTCTTTCCTTCCCAGTTTCTCTTCCTCTCTCCTGCTGGTGTTTCCTGGGATTATCTTTTGCATAAACTATCTCCACATTTGTATCACATTTGCTTCAGGACAGGCATTTATTTATTTCTTTGTTTATTTTTAATCACATGCAGAGGGGAAACATTTGGTACTGTGCGTGTGTGTGTGTGTGTGTGTGTGTGTGTCTGTGTGTGTGTGTAATATATATTATATAAACAGTCAAAACACCTTCAATGAAGGGGCTTGATAACTTGAAACTTATATGGTCTCTTCTGACTAAAGGTCCTCCCATGCCAGGTGTAATGAATTGTTCATTTTACAAGCTGTGTTACTGAGTCTCAAAGCACCCTACAACGTTCTGTGTGTGCGTTTTTCAGAGTGTTTCTGGAGACTACCATTTAAACTGGAAGACTGAGCAGAGTAGATGCTCTCCTCTACATGGGCGGGCTGTAGGATAGCATAGGAGTCCCCATAGAGCAAAACAGCTGATCTTCAGCTGTAACAGGGGTAAACTTCATAGTCCTCTGTCCCCAGGCTAGCTTGATGGCTCTCACATTTTGACACTGTTTCTTCTCTCCCTTTTCAAACTGAAATATTGGTTCTTGCTTTGTTTTAAGCCTACGAATATTCAGACTAGACCAGTGGTTCTAAACCTTCCTAATGCTGATACTTATTTTAATACAGTCCCTCATGTTGTGGTGGCCCACAGCCATAAAATTATTTCATTTCTACTTTATAACTGTAATTTTGCTCCTGTAATGAATCATAATATAAATATCTGATATGCAGAATATCTGATATGTGACCCCCTAAAGGGGTCATGACGACCCAGGTTTCGAACTGACAGACTAGATCCCTACTACCATTGGCCTCCTGATTCTCAGGTACTGGTCTCAGTGGGAGCTGTGCTACATGTTCTTTGGGATTATTTTCCTGCCTGAAGGTCTGGAGACTTGTCAGACTCCATAATTGTATGGCCATTCCTTATAATAACTGTTTTCCATATGTGCTTGCACAAGGTGTGTTCATCTGTCTCTGGAGAAACCCTAAGAAAAGTTTTTTAAAAAGAAAGAAAAGTCTGACCAATAAAGACCAATAAAAGTCTTTAAAGTTTATGAGGAAAACCAGAACAGCTAAACAACTTTAGGCAGAACTATGCACTGAGTTCTGAATGATAGCTTCTTTTCTTTATGACTTGCTATAGTATTATATGAAATGTTCCTTGGCCTCCTGATTCTCTTTTGGTCTTTGAGTTACGATAAAAAGAAAGTATGTTTGATCTAGAAAATACCTGATATGGCTGCGTATTAATTAAATTGAAGTTACTTCAACATTATTTCATGCAGTGTGCTTGTTTCAGTCATATGTATCCATATTTCTAGCAGGGCTTCTTTTCCTGACAGTACCAGGAAGCAGAACGACATTATATAAAAGCAGATGATAGCCTCAGGAGATACGGAGTCATGGCACTCCAAATTTGAACATAGTTAGGGGACTGATGGAATGTGGGCACAGAGCTCCTGCCCTTTTATGCAGTTCTTCAAGCTTCATACATCTTTGTTAGAGGACAAAAATGCAATAAAAGGTCTCTAGCCAAAGAGATACAAATACCATTTCAAAACAGAGAGCAATCCATCAGTCGGCATT